GCTAGTACCATAAATGTAAGCTTCTGTGTACTATGTATTACGTAACAGCTTCTTTTCTAATCTACATTTTTCTATGCAATGACTAATCATCTTCAGATAGTATCAATTTTATGAAATATACTGATGAACTAATGGTTTCTACACTTATCTCCTTTCTTCAACAGATTTTTTTTCAACTAAATGATTTCCTATCTATGGTTAGACGATGGTCCTTCATGAATGGTCTTATAGTGAATTCTGTTGAGAAAGAATGTTATAAGTATGAGTTATCCCAACATGAGCTTTTCTTTAGAGCTTCCCTTTTCTTCCAATATCTTAACAATTTTCAAAAGAATCTTCCACCTACCTTACTATATATATCTTAAGAAGCTGAGACTATCTGGTACGATTCATCTCCTTCTCTTCTTATGTTCCATTAACTTTATTATTGTTAACTGGCTGTCGTCGACTAAAAGTTTTAATGAGATTGTAAATTAAACACCTCAGTCATGAAAAGGCTCTTCCAGCATGTAGAAACCTTTTCAAGAACTCACTGGTAAGAAACACCTTAGTAAAGAACTACATATTGACGTCTGTGCTTTGAAAAAAATTCGTTTATATGCCAATCCACCTGTCCCATCCTACTTTATTCATATATTTCCAATGAAGAATGTTATACAGAGTTCACTGAGAAAGACGCTTTCAAATATCTTAAATCCCTGAATTCTTCATGCAGTTTAGCTAACATACCAGCTGCCTGGAAAGATATTAAGATAGTTTTCGTACCTAAGTCAGGGACTCCGGGGGGATGTCCGAAATTCCGGCTGCATTCCTATCGCTCTGAAAGGAAACAACATAGTGTTTACAGAGGGAAGTGCTCTACCTCATTACTTGCTGTGACTGGTGTTCTCCAAGGAGGTGTCCTTTCCCTATGTCTTTTCTTCCTCTATGACTTATCATCTGCTAGACGATGGTCGTCTATGAATGGTCTTGTGATGCACTCTGTTGATGATTGTGCAATAGGGAATGTTACAAGGGTGTTTCGTCTCGGTGTTTTTTTCTTCGGACCTTTCCTTATCGTCTCATACCTTACTAACTTCCAAAAGAATCTTCCACCTAACATGCTATATGAGGAAGCTGTTAGTATCTTCATCTTGCCTACTTTCTCCTTTATTGTTCCTCATTTTTTCTTTCCTGGGTTGTTGAAAAAAGACTATGCTACAGTGTGTAAATGTCTGAAGATTATCAGTAAGACTACAGTGGCGTACCTCTGGACTTTCTAATTGTGAAACTGTTGTGGACAAACATCTCAACTCATGTAAGCAGCCGACAGGAGTTATTTTATCAGATGACCAGCATCCTCTTCACTCAGAGCTCTCTACTTATCGATTCTCAGGCAAGATCAGGAACAAGTACATAAGACTTTGTACACATACTACTACCATACAGTATTCAGCTTTCCTGCTGTACTAGGAAGAAAGTGTTAGGAATGAACTAATTAATCAACTTTTGTCTTTTAAAGCAAATTAATTGAGTAGTACACAGCTTGCTGTTATTTAACTAGTATGAATCTAACGGCTAATGTTATTGTTTAATAACTAAGTTAACTCTGGGCTTTCAAGAAGGTTATAGATGGAGTAATTATCCTTATCTTTAATGTGTATAATTTCTACTTACTCCATTTTATTATGTGTACAACATATAGACTGTTTCTGTCTAATTGATGCATACGGCATACTGAAAATTTTGTACAGTATTGACGAAATATCATTCAGAACAAAGCCATTATTATTATTACTATTAGACACTCCCCATCCTTGTCATCTTTAACTCACAAACCATCTAGATTGGTTGATACTTAACACACATCTGTTTGAAGTTATTTATGTCACAGTAAAGCCTGATGAGATGCAATGGGAATGTCTTAATATTTTTTTAATTAAACTTACACTACTTGTGAGTAGTCTAAAATCAAATTAAAATATTACGAGCTGCAAAGCCAAGGTCTGTAAAAAATGCTCATGGGATTTTGTCGTTTTGTCTGTTACGAAATCACTTCGTGACCACTATTGTATCGTCCCTTCATCGTCATTACTACTAAGTTCCAGCTTCCACCTCGCCTTCTATACTCAACCATGATCTCTAGAAGTTTAGTGAAAGAGAAAAAAGTACAGTTGATTCAGCACTCCAAAGTATATTTTATCGCAGCTGGTGACTAATTCACTTAATCTAATCTGAACATTCATGGACAAGATGATCTGAGAAGAGAGTTTTCGATATCAGCCATTCGAAGTCTAAATTTACAGACGTTGTGAAATAAATATTTTCCTGTGCCGAAATGTTTTCCAGTAAATCAAAGAATAAATTATCGCATATAACTGAATTCATGTGTTGATGAAGAACATTTTTAGCTCAGATAAATGATTTTGATGGTGCTCTATTCTCTAATCATGAAGCTTTCTTTGTCATTCCATAAAACACTCTGGATCATCAACACAAAACTTTTGAAAGAAGTGAGACATGAAATTTTCTCCATAAGTGACTGTGATCTTAAATGTGATTGGCCGTTTCCGCTGAAATCTCATCATCTTCTCTATGGTTATTTCGGTCTGATTACGCTGGAAACCTGTTCCGTCCTAGTATGGGACTCCTTAACATTATGCACACACCATGCCACTAGGGATCGAGCCCCAGAACCATCAATGAAGCCAATAACAAGATTTTAGCGGAAACAACCAATCACACCCAAGGTCACCACGATGAGTTACTCAGTCACTTGTGGAGAAAATTCTATAGCTCACTTTTTCTGAAGTTTTTGTTGATGGTGATCTCGTCTAAGATGACGATCAAAGCTTTTCTATTAAAGCACCCAGAAGTCAAAGAACGCAACACCATCAGAATCTATGTGCATATATCAATTCGCCAGCTTCTACAGGTATGAAACATAAGTCATTCAGTGTGAGTATTGTTTAAAACAGTCTAAGAACACTGAACTGTATGGTTACAAGGCAACGAAAGTTGATCGTTAAAAGGTGCCATCTTTGTTCATATTCTCAATACAACAGAACGCCAGGTCAGAGTTATTTATGAAGTGAAAAAGAAATCTTATAAAAGACATACGCATGAACAGAATGAAAGTTGTCCAGCTTCTTCAGTCACCGTCTCCATTTCATTTCCTCTTGTGGAAGACCTCACTTTCTTCTCTTGTCTTCTCTCCCTTCATATAGTTTCGTTTCCGTTCTCTTTTTATGCCCTGTTTGATTATATTTGTGATTTTCTCAACTTTCTGTCCAATTACGTAATCCTTCATCTAAATACAACAGTGATTACGCCTATTTTTTGCTACATTCTTAATAACCTTCATTACATGTAACACTTTTGAGTAGTTTGGGGTGTAAATGACACTTTAAAGATTCAATCTGAAGGTTTGTGGAGATTTTTTGATTGATTTCAAGTTGAAATTCATCATGTACTGACTGACGTCTGTTAGAGAAACACTGGAAAGCTGGGAGCACTGGACAGCAAGCTATTTCCTCCCATTATGGGACTCGTCAGTAGTGTGCACCCACGACCCCGCGCTGACAGGCGTCGAATCCAGCATCTTCAGGTTCAGTGGTTAGCACGTTGGCATCGAGCCAGCTACTGAGTCAGAATCCAACGATCCAAATTTCTTACTTCTGCCAGTTCATCATATGGTGCAACCTACATCCGATGTCGTCGTTGAGTAACTGTCCTCATTTTCCACTTGCTTGACTCCACTTATCATGTCACAACTTGTCACTGGAACTTCGGGAATCACCTGTCAATGTTAGTCACCAATGAGCGCTAGATTAATTCTGTCTGAAGGTTTGTAGAGGTTTATTCATTGATTTCAGGCTGGAATTGATCATGGACCGATATGAGTTGGAGGAAGATCGGAAAGCTGGGAGCAGTGGACAGCTTTTTCGTCTTGGTATGGGACCACTCCTCAGTAGTGCGCACTCACAACTCCCCCCCCCCTGCGATGGATTGAAAACGTATGCTTTATTTCACTTACTACCTTGTTCACAAAAACCATTGTGACTATCTAACACTTTAAGGCATGACCGAAGTTAGGCGGCTGTCATAATTTACCAGGTGATGATTGCAGATGAAGTTGAAATATTGGAGGCAGCAGCAATAGTCGAACCACCGACCAACTCAGTGCTCTAATGACTCAACTACAAGACGCCAGGTGCTGACCGGATCTTAATTTCACTTTAATTCACATAATAACTATACCCATCACGACTCAGTGAGTAACGCTTTAGTGTTTGAAGTGGTCGGCCCTAGGTTAGAGTCCTATTACGGGTGACATCAATCACTAGAAGTCAGGTGCACCCAGCTGGTGGATCTCAAATAGAACGAAAGGCTCATCCTGGATCCCACTGCAAGCCACCATGCAGATCACTTCTAAATTCTCATCTTTGATATTTTTTGTGAACGTCAAGTATTTTCCCAAACCTGTCGAGTAATCTGCACCATTACAGCATCATGTAAACAACTCAATGTATCATTATCTTACGGGAAAATTAATCAGGAAATAGATGATTTTATTGGGTGATCAATTATATCAATCACTCTGTAGTAGACTTTGTTCTAATCACAATAGATTCCCATAGGCTTCTTAAGGCTTAGGGATGACTGTGATGACTTTAAACTACACAATTCTGTTAATCATATCGATTTTCCCAACTCGAATTATTACAGAGAAAGTCTGACGTAGAAGGTAGGCAGCGAATGTGTCTGATAGACAGACACACACACACACACATCATATCTGCATATAACTGCATGTGCCCTTAAACAATTGACCAATAAAATGAAGCCTAACCTGACCATTATTGTGCGGTCAGTGGAAATTTATTACGTATAGGCTGATCGCCCACGCAATAATGAAAATACCGTAAACGAGTACTATTTAGTAGAGAAAGCATCTCACTTCATTTCATTTGTTGGGTTACACTGAGTTTGGGAAGTAATTTGTGCTGTATCTATTCGACATGATGGTAAGTTCATAGATTTACACTTATGCTTGAAATTTATGATATTTTAATTATTCTATTCGATTTGATTCATTAATAACAATAATAATAACTCGTTTAGTAGATATAAGCTAATTTATTTCTCAATCGGAATATAACATTTCATTTTACTGACTTTAAAGACCAACTAGACGACTGTTGAAATAACCAGTTACTTCTTTTTGTTTTACAAAAAAAAGATTAATATTTAAACCGAAATAAAGAAAACTAATTGATTAATCTAGTTGTTGCTAGGGTAGGTTTTAGAGTCAGTTAAGTTTGAATGATTTTTAAGTGTGATTTAAAGGCCGGTCCTAGCAACTGTTAAGATTTAACCAATCACGATTTAGTGTTTCGGCTAGGAAGTGAATATTTAAACAAAATGAAATGTAATTGGTTATCTCATTAGTTGTTAGGCTGGTTATAAATTCCAGAAGTGTCGTTTAACTGTACCAGATTCATTTTACTATATTGATAGGCAGTGAAGTTAGGGTTCCCAAATTTTGGAAATATCTTGATTTCATTGAATATTGATTATTTATCTGAAATATTATTCTTTGAAACTGAGTATTTGGCTAGTTAGGTGTTTGTACCATAAGTTTACACATCATGTGAAGCTTGTATTACCAGTTATATTCATCTTGGCGACTAGCATTGGGATCCAGGACCCTCGTTTCGTCCTATTTGGGGCTGAATCGTCAGCCGGATGTATTCAAAGATATCATTTGATGAAAATCTCGCTACATCATGAATTAGCAGAAGTAGAAAAATGTGAGCCATTAGGTTCCGACAGAGTGACTCGATGGTAATGTGCTCGTTGTGAAACCTAGGCAACGTGGGTGTATACTAGTGACAAAAAACATCACAGCGCTGCTAGTTTTTCAATGCTTTTCCAACTGATGTCAGTGCTTGATAAGTATTCCCGCTAAGAGTCGAACCCAGTACTCATGGTTTCAAACGCCAAAGCCTTGTCTACTAGGCCACTGGGTCATAAGGACCCGCTGTTGTATTATAGTATTTATAAACTATTTACAGTATCCTAGGTGTATTAATTTCCAGTTCATTGAATTATTCTACCTACAGGCAGGAATAAACATACAAGCAAGTGATCATGCTAACCGATTTATCGCTGAGACAGCGCTTATTCCATCTTGCCATCCATTTACTCCTGGATCACCCAATCTACCCAAGTTTGGTACACTTATCCCAAATCGTATATTTGTTGGCGGAATACCATCAAATGTAGGTTTCATTTATTCCTTCGCCTTTATACATTCCATTCTTAGACAACTGAACAGGAATTGAAGTCCTTCTTTTCAAGTTTTGGTCAAGTAAAAGATGTTAAAATTATAAATGATCGATTTGGTATATCTAAAGGGTAGGTTTAATAGACACTAATAGTAATCATGTCTGTTCAACAGAAGCTATGGATTTGTTACTTTGAGAGTCAAGAGATGGCTGAGAAGATTATCAACAATGAGGTTAGTTTATTTCCTTCCTGTTATCTTTGTTTTTATTATCCTAGTCTGAAGCACTAATTTTCAAAGATCGAAAACTCAATATTGGTCATGCAATTCGTAAACAACATATGTTACCTCGCACAGGTATGTTCGTAATCCCTGTGTCTTTATTCAGCTCACAACATATCTACACTTTACCATATTCAACAAAATATTTTCAATTTTATAGACCTTGGAACAGCATTGTTCTTCACTGGAGGTGCTATACCATATACATTCCAAAATAGTATGGCTGTATTTCCTTTACCTGGTCAAGAATACTCCATGTTAACTCAGGTAAGTAACTGTATTGGTTGTTTAAGACTTAGAATTTCCGGTTGGTATACAGGGTCGAATAACTCGACCTATGTTTAACAAATGTGGATGTCTCGACACTGTAGGATATTCATTGTGTTGTTGTAGACCTGGTGACTAGCAGTGGGATTCAGGATGCAGGTTTCTTTCCGATTTAGGACTGACTCATCACCTGGACATACCTCCACTTCATTGAGTGAGATCAACAGAGGTCATGTTACTACAAGTATCAAAACAATACAACTGATACCCGTTGCATAAAAGGTTTCTCTGATGCCTTAGTGGCCCAGTGGATAACACCTTGGCATTTGAAGTGATAGGCACTGGGTTTAAGTCTTAGTAGGGATAGCATCCCTCACTGTGGTGTAGGTGCATCCAGCTGACAAGTCGATCCCAAACAGAATAAAACTCACGACCTGGATGAATATGATTACATATGTTTACTAAGAAATAAACACTTTATAGAATTATTAGGTGAACGGTAGTCTATGCAGTTATCAGCTAATGGACTGATTATTTTGAGACACATTTTTCATGAGATTTCATGGCAAACAAACGGATAGATTAACGTATAACATGACACAGAAGTCCATCCGTTCAAGTTACTGGAAGTGAAGGTGAATGCAGATAATGAGGGGTGTAGACATTCAAACTGTTTTGACACCGATTATGTTACTTCAAATGAAAACTCTTTATACATACCAAAACGAATCCATGTGTTCCAGTAAAGAGCCTTGATTAGGACAACCTATTCAATTAGTATCTACTTTACAGTCAGATACCACTATAATACCAGTTAATCGACGCTATGGTATACCATCTTCACAGGACAGTAAATAATCTGCTATTATATAAAGGTTTTTCATGGAGTTGATAAACCGTTTTGTAGGTAAATGGAGTATCACAGATCGAAGGACATAATTAGTTCACCTTCTTATTATAATGTCGAAACACGTTCTTAGCAGAGTGTTTAGTACAAATGATCCAACCTGTCCTCATTGACAGGTCTTCATGCATGGGTCGTAAACGGCATGGTTGCTTACCGGTGATTATGTTCCATGGCGCATATGTTTCCACAATTTGTTTATCTACTGCTTGCATAGAACATCTCAACTTATATCTACAGTATAAAGTTTGAGAATACTGACTTCACCTGAATTTAGTAATTTTGTTTTATCTTATTCATTTTCAAGGCTGCAGCTCCGTATGCCACAATGATGCTGCCTCAACCAGCCGGAGGTACAGCGCTTTATCTGCCTGCATCTTTACATTCCAATGCAACTGCTCCTGGATCAGCTTATGCGCATATTTCACAGCATACAGTAACAGCAGCACTTCAACAACAGTTACAACAAACTGGAAATATCTCTGGTTTGGCTCCAGCTGTTGTCGGTCAAATAGCCCCGGTTAATGTTACCACAAACAACACTAGTCCTCCGTCTCAGTCGACTACTGCAGTGATGGCTGCTGCAGCTGCTGCTATGGCGGCTGCGGTCCAATGGCCACAACAGACAGCTCAAAATAATCCTCATGGCGCTCAACAATTAGCTGCTATGGCAGCAACCCATGGTGCTGTACAAGCCACCAATGATCATCATTCTGTTGGTCAGACAACAATCACTCAACAGCAAGCTGCTGCTGCCGCTGTTGCAGCTCAACAACAAACAACCTGGCGTTGGTCACCAAACTTGCAGAATACTATGAACGGTACAAGTCCTCAATCGGGTATATGCACAGGTGTAAGCACAACATCTCCAGGTATTGGAGTGACAACCTCCTCACCGACTATTCAGTCTACGCATAACGTTCAAGGGAATCAACAGGTGAGTAATTCAACCTTATCCTTATTACAACCAGCATTCGATGTCTTACCATCTACACTGCAATTAACACAGAATTCAACTGCAGCATTACTTACTGCAGCTTTACACCACCACCACCAACAACAACAACAACAAACAGGTGGAAGTTGTTTTGGTACAGAGATTAATATGGACTTTGATATTACTACAGCAGCGGCAGCAGCAGCATTAGCTGCATTGGCAACAGCATCAATAAATTCATCCCTATTAAGCACAAATATACATCATCATCATCATATGGACTATACTATTCAAAATGATTGCTCAAAATCTGTCTCATCAGAAATAATATCAGATCATTGTTGTAATGATTCGAATGACTTGTTTTCCAGTCAACAACCTGATAAAAAAAACCACGATATGATATAGAAACTGCTACGAAAGTGGAGAAAAATGACTAAGCTGTTCTTTGATTGTTTTACTTGTGTATTTTTTTCTTTTGTTTTGTACAATATTATACTTTCTAATAGATGTGAATTATACATAGAGAAATAATTAACTGATTCTCTCCTTTAGCCTGTTAATATATATATATAGATGCACGCTTTTTACAAAGAGAGAAAAAAAACTTGTAAAACTGCAAAAACATGAATTTTATCCTTTAAGATTCATAAACCTTTGTATATGTTTTATGATGTAATGTAGTATACTTTTTTTCCCCTTTGTTACTAACTAACTAATGGTTTTGTGGTTTTATTTCGTTTGTAAACACCATCTACAATGGTAACAACAACGCTTTTTATTGATAAAAAACAAACAAACATTATGTAACTGTAACAGTGTTCAAACAAAGCTGCCTATGTGTATAGCCCATTAATTGGGGGTAGTCATGAAGTAATGCTCTTCCACCAACAGACAAGTTCACCATTCACAGGAAATTCAACTAGTGATTACAGTACTGATCACAGTACACATTCATCGGGTATCATGGAATCGGTTGAGGTAGGCTGTCTGTGGTGTTGTTTTTCATGTTCTTATTGTTCACTTATTTTCCTGTGAAGACATATTCTTAAGTGTTGTAACATTTTAAACTAATGTAGAATGTGAGTTGTGTTATTTATTGTTGAGGAGTGTATTAATAGTTATATGGAAGACGAACAACTTGTGGAAGTTGATAATAATGATGAAATGCTTGGAATTCATCCCGTTTTTCTTTAATCTATGCTTTCCAGTAGTTTCGTTGTGATATCAGTTAACCTGTGAAGTGTATATATTTGTTTGTTTTGAAAAGAATTCTGTGCATATTTACAAGTTTCTATGTGTGTCACTAAGTTATATTGTCTTTCATTATTATTTCATTGTTGCATGGTAATACAAACGAACCGTGTAATGCATAATTTATGCCTTTATAATAAAACAATACCAAAAGTAATAATTCAGTTTGGTGGTTTGTGGAGATTTGTTTGTTCATTTCGGGCTGGTATTCAAACATGTACTGATATCAGTTGGAGATAGATTGGAAACCTAGATGCACTAACTGTTTCGTCCTAGTATGAGCTTCCTCAGTAGTGCACACCCACAGCCCTGATATCGAGTTTCGCTGCCAACACGTTATCATTGAGCCAGCCATTAGGTCAGAATGCAATGGTCAGTTCACGATATAACGTGACCTCCATCTAATGCCATCGTTGAGTATCTATCTCCATGTTCGACTTGGTTGGCCTCACCGTCGGCCACGACTTCCAACCGGAATTTTTGGAATCACCCAGAAGTCATGAGTTGAATCTCTGGCAGGTTCCGTGGGCAGGGCACTGCTGAGGATTCCAATACTAGGAGGAAACAGATAGTTGTCCAGTGCTCCCACGTCCCGATGTCTCTCAAACTGATGTCATGTCATGATGAATAACAACCTGAAACCAAAAGCAGTAACTCCTCAGTTTGTTATGGTCAAAATATTTGTTATCGAGTAATTAATTATCATTATTGATATGATGATATACGTGTTTTTTAACTCTTATATTCTTTAGTCTTTAAGTTTTCATTATGGTGGTACACCGATTGGTCGTCAAGTACAACAACAACACCACCAGCAACATCAGCAGCAACAACAACATTTTACTGGAAATCAACTAACTAATATTTATCATACTACACATATGGATAATTCATGTCTAACACCGTATACACCTACATTTACACCAATATTAGAATTCCCTTCTCATTCTCAGTGTATAGGTCGACAAAATCCACTTCATCAATTCACATCAACACCACAATTACAACAAAATTTACGTCAAAGTCAAGTGCAACCTGAAATGCTATCAAATCACCAAGTTAATGCATTCGTATCAATTGTTAATCCATCAGTATCATCACATTTGAATAAAATGTTAACTACTACATGTCCTCGTCAGCTATCAACTACTGTTTATGGAAATCATCCAACAGTAAGTTTTCTATTTCTACATTTTTATGTATTTCTCAGCGTAAAAGTGAAAATTCTTTCTTCCCAATTTTAATCATAAAAGTGTTAAAGATTTCTATGATGAATAGTTTACTATCAATTGAGGTTGTATCTATACTACAATTTCAAGAGGTAGACCATTTAGTATTTGCCAACTTGCGTTATCTATGGTGCCTACCGGTGAGATATGCGACTGTCTATCGAAGAATGAAAACACTTCATTGCTGCAATGATTACTGGGTTTCCTTCACAAATATCTTCTTAGCGTTACTCGCGTTTGACAGAATCACCGTATGAGCAATGTTGAGGTAATATGAAGGGTACTAGGCAAGACAGGCAAGTCGATTGATGAGGCTGTGAACCTTAGTCGACTGAGATGCCTTGGATATGTGGTGTGCATGTCTAGTTACCGTCTACCCCGAAGCTCCATTCTCGGGGAAGTTGGATCACGTTGGAAGAGGGTATGGGATGGACAGACCAAGACGTGGTACAAGTCGATGAAGTCCTTGCATATTGGTCTCAGTCGTGTGGGATGGTGTAGACTGTCTACTTGGGGTCTTCAAGAAGACAGGAGTCAGTGTTTGAGACTCAGGACTGTTGGTGACATGGCTGGAAATTGGTCACGGTGGCGCAGATATCTCCACTGTTTAACGTCTTCTAATGTTTTGGCGTTTTCACTAACCATTGTTTTGGAATTCATTTTCCTCTCACTCCCCTTTGTCCACTTTGATATTACTATTGTGGAGTGTGGCAACTTGAGCCGATGGACCCATATGCGAGGTCGTATGTTGATTTCGTTAGTCAGCAAATTATATCCCTCAAGATGAATATCCCAAACTTGAAATGAGAAACCATGATCTATGAAGTCAGAAAAGAAGTGAATACGGACTGTAGACATTTGATGATAATCGCACTTTATCCCGAATTGTCAGGAGTAAGAAATTGTGGACCAGTTGCTGAATATTTAACGTGTTTACCGGGAAACCTGAAGGTCCTGAGTCCCATCCCTAACTAGGTCATGAGTCCGTAATCCTGAGGAGTCCCGCGAAGGAAAGAAACACCAGCTGTCCATTTTTCTCAGGTCTTCAGTGGTTCTCCAACTAAACATCAGTGATGAGTAGTACCTTAAAGATATTGTTTTCTTCATTGTTAGAAAACTAAATCTACTTTATTGACTTTTTTTCTTTTCTTTTCATCATTCTATTGACAAATTAAGAATGCAACATTAAATGATATGAATTCATCAAATGATCTAAATCTATCATCAATCAGTCAAGTTCAATCTAGTGCCACAATTGGTGTTCAAGGTAGCACTAATCAAATCATATCACAGTCATCTACTTCTGTGTTAACTTCTACAACGTCAACATAGTCATGAAGTATCTATCATAAAAAGTCGAAGAAAAAGGTCAAGAACTTATTTTATCCTATTTTAAAATAAAAATTCCTTTAGTTTTCTTACAACCTATTTTAGTGTAATCTATAATTACTCAACTCTTCATCTTTTTATCAATCGCTTCAAGAGTTTTTATGACCATTTTCTCTTATATTACCTGCTGTTTAATAGTATAGAGTTATGCAACAGGTGGAAATCAGTTATATATTTGTTTTGTTTTGCTAAAGGCAAATTTTTAGACTATTTTTCCTTTCATTTTTTAAAATTAATATTATCATTCACATTTGCTTATTACAGGTATTCTACTCATATTTCTATTGTTATTGCTTCCAATTCTTTCACCATTGAATGATGGTTACTGCCTTGATCACTATGACGTGATGTTTTATCAATATGTGTCATTATTAAACTGTATGGCTAATCTAATCTTTAAAGATTTCTTGAAGAACTTGGAATTCTTCTTATATGGTTCTTATTGATTGATGACTGATTTTTATAGACCACCGATACATGACTATTCAGAGCAATTGATACTTCAAAGAGACAAGAAGATAGTACTGATGAAAGTACAATTTCAAATTTTTTTTTATGATTGAGGAATATAAATTAAAATAGCCTTTCTTATTGAGTATATATATGAAAACTAAGATTAAATTAATCGCAGTTTTCATCTACTTGTTACAGAGTTTTGTTCATTTGTTACTCCCTTTTTTTCTCTCTTCTTTTTGTGTTGCCTTTTGTGCATCTTTTGTTTATTTTTTTGTTGATTTGTTAGTTTAGTTGTGATATCTAGTTATTTCTACAATGGTATACGTAGATACAAATAAAGAGATATGTTGTTTTTTTTCAGCATAGATTGATTGATCTTTTATATTCTAGCATAATTATTTCAGTGGAAATATCGTTACTATGAGTTTATTTTATTTAGAATTATTTCTTTATTAACTCATAATTGTATTAAACACAGGATCTTCTGAAGAGGAAACTAAACGTAAGTCTAGGTGGTTACTTTTATTTACTAGTCACTGGGAATATAAGTGAATGTAAATGATCTAAGTAGATTGTTTGTGCTACAAATGTGTCATATTCGCTGTTGTATTTATCACACCTTGACATCACATGTCCATCGTGAAACCTGAAGGTCATAGTTCGATCCCCAGTGGGTCGGAATCGTGGGTGCGCACTGAAAGGTCGCATACTAGAACGAAACAACTGTCCAGTCCTCCCAGTTTTTCAATGCTTTCCCAACTGATTTCAGTCCGTGGTGAACACTTCCTTAGAATTAAAATCCCCACCAACTTCAAAATACGTTTATATTTCGAGAATGGATACCCCGAATTACTACTGAAAGGCCATGACCAATGGGGGTCAACCAGTCGGAAATGAAACAGATGTCAACCGAAGATCTTGTTGGATAGTCACGTTAAATCGTACACTAATAGAAGTAGGAAACTGTGGTCCACTAAACTCTAACCCAGTGACTAGATGGTTAACGTGTTCGCCGTGAGTTCGATCCCTAGCGGGTCGGGGTCATGGGTACGTACTACTGTGAAATCCTGTACCACGAAAAAACCACTATTCAGTGTTTACCTCAATCATATCGGTTTGACATGAATACAAACTTATTCAAATATGATAATTTCACAAGTTTGTGCTGAGAAATCGGTGAACACAAAACATACGATCACGGAAGAGGAAAAATTCAATGCCCTTCGTATTCATTTCGAGTTGTAACATATTACATATAAAGCCTTACACATACAGTACATACATGTACTGATAGGCAGTAGATAGATTTTCCCAGTACATCAGACTTTTTACTTTTATGTATACTAAGTACACTAAATTGAATATTAAAAATTACTTCAACCTAAACAATCTAACAGACCGTTTTTGTTATATATCATTACATGATAGCAATGAAGCTGATGTAACCATTTTAAATTTATTGATTTTTTCTTCTTCAGAAAATCAATATTCACGGTCAGTTCATTGATTGCCTCACTTTAAAAATATCCCATCTACTAAAATTAGGCACTGTTATTTCATACTACTTTATAATTAGTACACAAACAAATTAAGATGATAAGTTGTACTCTGTATGACTCATAAAAATTTTTAAAAAAACTAATTTTTACCATTTTAATATGATTGAATAGAACAACACAATTATACTACTAAATGATGTTTAGTAGTAAAATATTTTTAATCTGAAAAAAAACTCACTGACTGATTGAACCTATTCGAATGTTTTTTTTTATCACATCACTAACGTGTTAATTCAATTAATCAACAAACTAGCGATTGACTACCTGACTGACTCACCTTTCAACCCAAACGTCATTTAATCTCATTTTTGTATTAATAAGTGTATTGAGTATTGAAAAAAAAACTCAGACATTTCTGGGTTTTTTGAAAAATATACTGAGTTTTTGCAAAATCATAGTATGACTGAGTTATAACTAATTGAATAGTTGTCAAATTAAAAGTGAAATCTGAAAAAGGAATATTCTATTTGATAAACTTTACTCATATCCTAAACTTATTATAGGAAAAACTATACTTGGGTTGATTTAAGGGATTTATTATTCTATATTATTTGTCCCTTGGGTTCCTAATGGAACATAGGCATTCAGTAGCACGTCTCCACTCCACTCTGTTCTCTCCAAACTTCTGAACCTGACTCCACGACAGCCCACAAGCTCTCATTTCTTCCTAACAGCATCTCCTCCATGTCACCCTCACCTCGGATGCCCAACTCGTCGCATCCCGTCGGGGTCCCACTCGGGTGCTTGGCCTGATGCGTGATGTCCCCAGTCGGCCTTCTCAGTGTATGCCCAATCCATCTCCACTTCCTTCCAGTGCATATTTACTGAGTGATAGGTTCTTGCTTCGTTGGTTCGTTGTTAGCCAGCCAGAGTTCCTTGTTGCTTATTCTGATTATTCTGGCCATCTCATCGACCTTCATTAACGAGCCAGCGTAGGCAGTTGTTGATAAATGTCTGTAGTCTGTTGGAAATGCCTTTCGCAACGCACCAAGTCGCTGAACCATCACATAGAAGCACTGATTTGACATTGGTGTTGAAAATCTGGATCTTGTTCACGCTTTATGCTGAGTGCAGAAGATCTCCACACTAGTTTAAGGTTAATGAAAGCCTATCTTGCTTTTCGGATCCTGGCTTTGATGTCCTCATCTCTGTCGCCTGTAGTTGGAACAGTGCTGCCTAGATAGGTGAAGGAGGCTACTTCCTTTAAGTTTCTCCCGTTCATGGTGATTGGAGCCTGTTGTTGCTGTTGTTATTGGTTAGGTATCTTCATCATCTCTGTCTTCTCCACGTCCACTTGAAGTCCAGCTTTCGCTGCCCTGCCCTGCCCTGCCTCTTCACTCAACTGTTAGTTTTTGCCTGTAGATCTTCAAGTTTGTGCGACAAGGCATTAGACATAAGTCATCGGCGAAATCCAAATCTTCTACGATCTTTTACCCGGTCAAACAGCGTATCCCCATATTCTCGCTCCTCACTGTTTGTTGCATGATCCAGTGGACAAGAATGGGGAATATCATGGGTGATAGTAGACAGGCTTGTTTCACTCCTGTTTTCACTCCAAAGGCGCCACTGAGCTTTCCATTTTGAATGACTCGTCATGTGGCGTCTTCATATAGTTGTTGAATGAGACTGATAATGGTTTGTGGTATTCGTACATAATTTGTACTTCCTGAATCCAGCCTGTTCGGGTCGTAGTTTTGAATCCAGTGCATCCTTTAGTCTCTCCAGGATAGCTAACGTAAACAAAGGCCAAGTGAGTAACGATCTGGTATCAGAAGTGATTGGTCCCGGATTTGAATGTTTGTGAGAACAGCGTCACTCACAAACGTCCCAAACCGGACGAAACACGTGTCCTAAATTCCACTGTTGACAACTATCCATCTTTATTTTGTTAATTGTAGTTCTAGAAACAGATTTTAAACCACTAAAACCTATTCTAGCTGATATATTCATGACTGATCTTGAACAAACACGTTTGAACTATACTATCAAGTAGGTGACATAATACTGCAGGCGTGTCGATGATACTTTCATTGTTTATGATGATGATGAGGAGGAGGATGATTACGTGATTCATGTGTCAGAGTTGTTCAATACCTTCAAAAAAGTACATCCAAATATGAGTTTTACAATGGAGTGAGAAAAAATTCAACTTTTCTTTGGAAATGCGATGATATAAGTGCGAAAATCATCCATAGGAGAGACATATGGATATGTCAATACCTTCACTAAAATAGTTTCTGTCCTGTCATCTATAACTGTGGTTTAGTCAGGGCGTTTTTCACTAGTATAAGAAGGTTATGCTCAAAAGACAAACTGGAAGAATAATTCTGCATCATTGGAAAGACACTCACAGAGAACGACTATCCATTGAAATGCGTCATGAAGCATGAAAATGGAATTATTGAGAGAACCAATCACTCAAGTTTTGACATGAAACCTGTTTTCCTTCGTCTAGCACTCAACCATGGTGAGATAACTGAAAGAATAGACAAGAATAGAAGCTGCTTTTGAGTAAGGATCTTCTCTATTGCCAGACTGATCCCAGTTTACAATACAATATGCTCAATAACACAGTTGTAAGTAGACAAGCAAACCCATCTCATATCACCGGTGACTGTATATCAATTCATCTGTGCTTGAAGAAGCAAGTATATAGGACGAACCAAAAGAAGGGTGTCTACTCAATTTTATAAGCATATTCCGAGAAATCTGCGTCTGAATGGTACCAAAGTGTTTACCAGCACAATAGCCAGGCATCTAATGGGAACAGGATATTCAATAGATATTTCTCAATCCTACAGGATAATCAGTAAACAAAGAACCTCGTGTTTATTACGGTTTGTGGAAGCTGTCTGTATCAAACATTTTCCATCTCAGGAAGTGGTCGTAATTAATCTTTCTTTAGTCGAGTAACTGTGCCCAATATTT